TATAGAAATGAAAATTTTTAATAGTAAGGGACATTTGAATTATGTCCTCACAAATAATTTAGGGACCCATCTTTATTCCCAAGTATATATTCCATATAAAAACTCAATTTTGATCTCAAATCACCAATTATCCATTTTCATAGATTAGTTATTATATATTATTTTTTTTTATAATTAATTTTTTTTAAAAATTGAAACAAAATTTAATTATATATTATTAATTATTGATTTTTTTTAATTAAAATTATTATAAACATTAAAAATTATAAAAACATATTTTTTAAAAATTCAAATATATATATATACTGTATATATAATATATATATAATATATAAATCTATATAGCAATTGATAATATTTTGATAATAATAAAATTACAAATATTTAACAATTACTGTAATTGTTAAAACTAATAAAAGTATTCAAAAATTATATTTTAATATATTTCAAATTTCAAATTTTTATTTATTTATTTATTTTTAAAGATTGATTTAATAATTCTTATTTTTATTATTTTAAAAAATGAAACATGACATTTGATATTTGAATTACAGATTGTAATAAAAGATTTATTTTCATTAAAAAATAGTAAATAATATATATGAGAGTTGTAAATATTATAACTTAAGAAATAAATAAATGAAAACGTATATTTAGTATTTAGTATGTGGGATTGCATTATCTCTTCAATCTGGGAATCCCTTATCGATTGATGATTTTCATTTAAATGTTGAGATAAAGTTCGTTTATTGTGTATTCCGAAAAAATTGTAAAAAACATGTTTTTTCCTAGATCAGTTAATCGTTACCTTTTTTGTGCTAGGAGAAATTGAATTTTTGTAAATTTTAGATGCATTGCAGATGAAAGAAGCGGTTGACCTCAGTAGATAACCTCAAAAAGGTTTATCAACACGTAAAAAAAAAAAATGAGTGTACTTGTTTAAAGAAAAGGGCGGGTTCGCACGTACATGGTAAAGTCACTATCACGTACCACCCTGCCAAGTTTATTTTCAAAACAAAAAGGCGGAACTTTGGTTTTTTCTCGAAGTTTGTTTATCAGTGGGAAAAAAAAAAGTAATCATAAGGTAACAATAAACCAGGTTTATATTGTGACTGGCGGACATTAAAGATTAAGGATACAAAGGCCAAATGAATTGATTCATCCGAAAGTACGCGTGACATGCACATTTACGTGAAAGTTGTACACATGTTCCTTTTGCGTATTACATTGATGCACGAAAAAGGGCATATTAAATTCAGAACATGGAATCGGCAAATTCGAATTGGTAAGATTATATCAATCGCACAATATTCTACGATCTTTTGTCAAAAATTGAGGCGATGCAGACTAAGATTCCGTATACATGGAAACGGTATCCGCCAGAGGTTAAGACTTGCGACTTGCACACAAATATTATTGTTCCTAAAATAATTTATACATAAACGGATAAAAACAAGATTTCAAGAAGTTATTGATAATACCGGGCATCAAATGCCATACTGGATACTGTTCAATGAATTAAAGTGGTTTACGTGCATACCGCTTAATGGACAAGTAGAATACGTCAGACATGATTCAATAAATCTCGCACGTGATAGGCAAACCCGGGCGCGTCAGGTAATTTTAATTCTAACGATGTCAGTTGTTCAACCTGCTACAGTACATACGGTTGAAAATGGTTGGGACATTTAACGTATCATCGTCAAACGGCGACTCTCGATTGGCATTAGAATCTACATAGGCAAAAACCGATGTTACTGGTGCAGCACTTGCAATATTATAATATTAATGGTGTTTAAAGATTTTTCCGGTTGGTCGTCGCAAAACAAAACCTATTATTATTTCGCGAATCACCGATTGGTAGAAAGGAGAAATTACATTGTTTTTTGCATTTTACATTCTCATGTGTCCACAGTCAATTTTACGAGGTGCTTCCCGGGATTTGACTTTTTCACATGTCGCTCTTGTGTAAATGCACGCGTGATTATTTGACCCTTTTTATCCCTAGGTCCTCTTATCATCATGTATTGGTGCCCTATTGTTTTACGGATTTACACGCACCTTAATATAAGGTGCAGGATGATTCTTAAAATAGATCATCATTCTATTTATAGCAATTTGAAGTTTTTTTTCTCTGATATCTTTCGTTATTTCGACAACGCGAGTTTGTTCATACACTTTAAGTAAATCCCTTATTATACAAATAGCATTTTGTTACATAAACAAATGTCGATGTGCCCATGATATAATGCAAATTTACCAATTTTAACTTCGTTCTTATAACTTACACAACTACCGCATGTTTCAAAACGTTTCTACTGTATCATCAGCAAAAAATAAATAAATAAAAAAATAAATAATGTTAAAACAAATATCAGAGACATAGTAATCACTTTATTTGTCATAGATTCGCAATTTAATAACAAATGGTTAATTTTAAAAAAAAAATGCAGTATTGTTGGAATTTTTAATGAAACAGAAAAAAAAAACATTTGTACATATCTATTGCAATAGTATCTATCATTTATGAACTAAGATCAGAATAAAAACAAGTTAGTAAAAGGAAATTAAATATGTTTTTAATGACAATTAACTGTTCAATTAAAAAAAAAATCATTTTTTAGGTTAGTCACATGTAATTGGTCTTAATAGAAGATCTTAAAATATTAAGAATCTTTACGAAAAAAATTCACTACGCGGATCCAACTCCACATGACAATGGGCTGTAAAAAAAGGTTTTTTTTCAGACGTGAAGATCTCGGATGGGTAACAACAAATTAGCTTAGCGCTTGGGGTGGTAACTCATAAAAATAAAATTCGATTGTCGAGAATCTCCGTAAATCAGCCCGTGTCGTGATGATGACGACTGATGAAGGTGCTATCCCTAGACTCAATGATCAATCGAACGGGTGATATACTACTTATCAAAAAAAAAAAACGGCTCTGCATCATTTAGCGAACAAAAGAGGTATCTTGCATGTATGACGTGAACTTTTATTCGTTCCGTGCTAACCAATTCAACCTAAAAATAGCACCAAAAAAATTAAATTCTGTATACGTGTGACTGCGTAGATCAAAGCATGTGTATTTGGATTCCCTTACCCTCGGTTGATAAGTCAGCTGACTTTAACTTTATTATATAACAATACAACGACTGTAAGTGTGACACAGTTACATTACTTGCATTACGTACATACATATATATGCACGTCGCACATTGTAATAAATAAAATGATAGTTATTTAGCGTTGTTAAATAGGTCTTATATGTTATACCAAAATCTAGGAATGGATTAATAAAAATAAAAAATATGTTATCGCATATCTTGAATAGTATAACGTAGTATGTGGGAGGTAAGTTCGTACACACATAAGTACCGTACGATATCAATTATTAGGTTACCTGTATTTAACTTAAAGAAAGACCGAGATCACTTCTTTAATCGGATAATATATTTTGTAAGATAGAATGGTCACACATAATAATTTCATACCACACACACGCATATCGGTAATGCATACCGGAGCGTCCAAACAGTATAAAATGTAATGGTTTTTTCTTTTTCGTCTTCAAAAACGTTGCTTTTTTCCTTTTCCTTTTTTTTTTTTCTATCGTCCATCTTCAATCATATCATGGAAAAATAATCAAAAAAGAAGTCGTAAACCTTACTTTATTGATCATTTCACTTGTTAAATTAAATTCTGAAACTCTTTTTTTTTTTTAAAAAAAAAAAAGAAGCCGCAAAAACCTTACTTTATTGAATCACCCCACTTTATATTAAACTCTGAAATATATATATATATATGCAAACAAGCTACTCACTCTCTCCGTCAATCCAATCTGTGCTAACTGATCAAATTTTTATCTCATTTTTGCCTACGTGAAAATTCCGTGAAGAAAAATAAAAGTAGAACAGAAGTGCCTCTGTAAAACGCAATCTTGTAACAGATAGTAATATTACTACCTGAGTGAAAGTAAATACGCTCATCTGTAAAAGTACCCGTTTATCTATTTGTCATTCATAAAAAGTTAAACATGGCCGCAACCTATATCCCATCATCCCCAACTCAATCCATATGTCTCTCCAGTGATAGTGAAGATGAATGTCCACAAAGAGAGTATAAAAACCAAAATAACCATCGTAAGTCAGTTCAGTTTTCAAGCCACCTAGTGGTGGTTCACGAAACCTGGTGCAATGATGAATATGATCGCACCTCCACCGAACCCGCACGCCTCTCCTATCAGGAATACTCCGATCTTCTTCAGCTGCGCTGTGACTTGCAAAGGGAAACGGATAAGATGATGAAAGCAGCAGCAGCATTGCAAAATGCAAATGATCAAGACAATCACGCGATGTAGTTGTTTTCTCGCGATTCAGGATTCCCACTTTGCATCATTATTCACGAGTCTTGTCAAAAATAGACTGTATAGCAGAACGCATCAGTGGAACAATAGTCTTTATTATTATTATTATCATTATTATTTCTATTATCATTGTCTTTTCTTCCAACTCATTTCTTGTACAAAATTTTTTCTCCCTTCCCATTTTTTTACTCCACACCATAGAACTCCATTAATTAATACGAGAATAGCTTCCTTTCATTCATCCTACGCATTAAACAATTTAGTAATTTATTGTTTTATGATTATACATATTAATCGTGTACAGGCACAAAAATTTTCTCTCTCTCACTCTCACTTCCCATTTTCCCCTTTCTTATTGCATAAATTTTCTTTAGTTTCTGTATTTGGTTGTCTTGTAATTATTTTGTTTTTCGTGTTATTTGTTGACAAGAAAAAAAAAATCTGTTTATCATACCAAAAATTCATAATTGAGTGAATGTTGCCTAATTTGGATATCTGCAAAACTTACGTCCTGTTTCCCGTACGGCGTTGTGGGGTTTTAACCAAAGGAGAAACGCGGGAACACTGCCAAACCCGTATGAACTCCCCAAAAAAGGTTTCCCTAGCCTTGCTTGCCCAAATTGTACAAATTGCCATACGAATATGAAAACGCTTGGTGAATCCTTGATCACTATTTTTTTATGTCGTGACCGTGAATAATGCGACTGATTGTGCGGATTCGCCGCAGTAAATGTGATTCGGAATTAGAAATTTTTCTCCGAATGCTTCGAAATGTCGAAAAATTCTTTTAGCTCCGCTGACGTCGCTACGCCCAAGGAACCTTGATGTCATGGGGCCCTCCATTTTTCATTGTTCCCTTTCGTACATCCAACGCCCATGAACATGACCGTACCATCTAAACGAAGCTAATCTCACACATCAACTGTAGGGATTTCGGTCGTCGCAATCTTTTTTTCCTTCGGCTCGTCACATGCCACGCACGCATGATTTGAGAGATGTTCCAAAATGTTATCCAAATTTGTACACACCATACACAAAATATCTTCCAAATTTGTTATACGACATGCAAAAAAAAATATTTTGATATATTTAGGTAATTTATGTAATTTATCCACCCTTTTTATCGATTTCATTCAATGATTCAATGTTTTTGATGACATTTGTTTTTAAAATAAAAATGAGAAAACCTGAATACAAAATAATTATACATTTGATTTATTATTATCTATTATTATCATTATTATTTATCTTTGGTTTCAATGAACGAAGAATCCGTTGGAAAATATATCTACCGCGCGTACAATAATACACCTTCTTTTTTTAATTTGTCCAAATTTATTTTTTTTTCCTCCATACATTATTAAATCTACAGAAAACAAATAATGTATAATACATTATATTGCATAAGCTATTCTAATATCTTGAACACCCATCTTAAATTATGTTTCTAGGTGTGATTTTGGAGATAAAGAAAGTTGATCTCTTTATCATCTATTTGCTTATGGAATTTGAAGTTAAAGATCATTGTCCGCAGTTCATCACTATGATTAATTTGTCCAAATTTATTTGTTATTCTGATTTTGATTCATGATTTTGAATGTTTTGGAAAATGGCGTTGTGATTACAATTGCGTATCGACTTGACGCCATACCTCTCAAAGGTGTTCATAGTGACTACTTCTTGGCGTCGTCTTTGTTTGACACATCGGCATGATGGACGGATTGAGAAATTTCGATTTTCTATTGTTTTCTCGATTCATGATTTTGTATTTGTACTACGACCGTATGATGGATATACTGCGAATTATGCGGATCTGGTTGACTTCTGAAGATAAAGATTATCTTTGTTCAACTGATGCACTCGTGACAGAATAAATTTGAGGTGCATTTGCTATATGTGGTCAAACAAATTCATATCGATGGTACTTGGATCAAAGTTAAGCTTTATCTTGGATGTCTTTTCGGTTCTTGCAACTTTTTTGTGTGCATTGCTTGCGACATCATCCCCGTCCGTATCTCCAAACCCATCAGATTGTGATGCCTCAAGTCGATCGTCAACTCGGCGTTTCTTGAACGTGCCTTTCTCGCGAAGGACTTGTCTTCGTTTTTTAAGCATCTTACTTTTGGTATTGTTGTGTTCGCTTTGATCGCCCGAACTTTCTTGGTCTTCCCATGAATTCCTTGCCATTTCAATCTATTGATTTATTGATTTATTAGAATCGCAACGTATATCAAACAAACAAACAAATGATGGAAACGTTCTAAATCATGGTTTAACTAATTATGGTTTACCTCATTTTCGGTCCGCATATACTCCTCTAATTCTTCATCATCCAGGGGTACATCGGAAACATCCAATCTATGCTCTTCGCTTGTAACACGATCCTTACTGTAGCTTTTCTCCGGAGATCTACCTTCACCTCCGTGATCAACGTGATCTGTGCTTATTGTCTCATCATGCTCAGCACCCGTGTCCCTATCCATCATAGCACGTCTCTTTTGTTTCCCCTTTTCGCGACAGTCTGAGATCCATGCATGGAATTGCACCAGATCAACAAGGTACAAATAGCTTCTGCTCTTATTTTCTTGTGCCAGAAAACTCCAAGGGAGATTGATGACTTTGGAATGTATCAAGTCTATCAATTCTTTGTATCTGTCAATCATTATTAAATGTGAATCTACTTGAAACATTCTGCTGATAATATCTGATGCTCGCTTATGGTTATTCTTCCATTCCTCGTGACTCGGTTTTTCGGTGGCTTCGACTGCGATTAAAATGATCGCCGCGCCAACAGGGGAAGGTTGCTTACCGGTTATTATATTACCCTCATTAGCATACTTGAGCAGCTGCATGCATAGTCCGGTAAAAACCTTACGATAATATTTCATGATGTGATCTTGAAACTCCTTACGTGAAACACTATCTTCCGGATAATTGCTGTCACTCCGAGTATCGAATGCCTGCACATCTTGTCTAAGATGATCTAGTTGTTGGGTGTCCACATAAATTGGTAAATACTGTCGGTTGTCACGGTTTTCGAATAGTTCGTGCATTACTTTATTGACTAATACTTCAACGTCTATAAAGCTTGGTACTGAAGGCATCAGGTGCATCCGTATCTTATGTACCACATTTGTGAGTTGTTGTATTTCCAAGTCCAACGTAAACTATAATCACATCATTATTTTTAAATACTGGCGTTGAACATCAAAACAATGATAACAAGAACGAGTGAATTGATGGTGCATTACCGCCACTTCGCGCATTGTTTTAGGAATCTTTTCCTCCCGAATTATCAATAATGCGCAAGCACCGATCACAACGCGTAAAAGATGACCTTCGCCAACTTGAAACTTTTTTTCGACCATATTAAACAACGCTGTAACTTTTGATTCGATGGTTTCTAAGCCCAGTGAATAAGTTATTTGATTAATGGCCAACTTGGCCTTACGGTAATAATAAAAAAGTGTATTAAATTCAATGAAACGAGAGAGCAAGGGAAATCGAAAAGGATATATGTTACTCACCGAAAGTTTATTCTGGAAACCTCCAGGATCTATTCGCGTGCCATCAAGTGTTACTGGCCTAAGCGTACGACCTTCATATAAATCTTGGAGTTTTTTACAGGGAGGGATATGTGAAACCTTAATAATTGTAAAATGTGTGTGTAATGAAAGAGAAGACTCGTTTACCATGTGAGTCGGGCTCGAATATTTCGGAAGAAATGTATTCTCCACATTTTTTACAGATTATTGCAGAATCGACGATTTCGGTTATTTCATGTTCACAAACATAGGACTCCATTATATGATTATTCACATTGTCGAAAGGGTATAATAGAAAACCAAATTTTTTTTCCGATCGATCAACCTCGCATTAAAAAATGTTGCATGTCTTACAAGTCGGAAAAATATAACCGTTAGATCACGTTTGACTGCAAGAATTTTTTAATTCGATTCATCATATACTATATTTTATTTTATTATTTATTTTAAATATTTATTAAAAATTATTATTATATAAAAATAATTAGATAAGTCATTATATCTTTGATTATTATTATTATTATCTTTTGTTAAACTTTTAATATTTACTCAATCTTTAAGCATAGAACCAGCACAATGGTAGAAACACCAGCAATGTCACTGGAAGATCAAATAATAGATCACTTCAGAACACTAGAAAACAACCATAATGAAAAAGATCAGAGATGGCTTCGTGCTCTTATAGAAGATGGATCAACTAATACATCATCAGAAATTTCAGATCTGGAAGCACTCATAAATATTACAGTCATTGATGCTGTTGCTGCAAGACTTCTCAACATTGACTCAAAAACAGCAGTCAAATGGGCTTTGGCTAAAGAATATATCAAACAGATATGAGAATTTAACCAACAAGACATGAGTATTCTAAACAAATTCTTAATTGAAGATCCTCAACAAGTTGCTCAAATCTTAAGTATACTTCAACCAATACAAGGCAACTCAGATCAACACAATATTGAACAAGATCAAATAACACATAACAGTATAAACCAAGAATCATCAGACAAAGTTCAACAAATTCCAGAAGTAGAAATGGAAAAACAAGCAAAAAAGAACTCAATCACAATAGAGAAAATACATATACCAGAAATAATCATGGAGAAACAACAATCTTTAGAGGAAAACATTGATACTAATACTTCCATCTTAACTTCAAACTTAGATATCAAAATGATACCAGATTACACAACAAGAAACAGGCAGTATTAACCAACAAACCCCTTCTATATTTGTGAAAAAGGGCCTTATAAAGCAGGAGCAATGACAATAAACACACCAGGAGACAATAAACCTGAACAAATAAAATATCTGATCAACATACTTAGACTCCCAAAAGATAATCAACACCTTATACAATCTCTTTTTTTCAATAGTAATGAATGGTATGCTATTTGCTTTGAATACGAGAAAGATCTAATAACATGCATAAACAAAATCAACTTAAAGGACACAGAAAATTTTCGCCTGATCCAAATACAAATCCAAGAACACAACTAAAAAAACAAAAGAGAATAGAACAAGAAATGCCAACAGAAACAAGGATTTCAATCAAGGAAAAGCCACACACAATACTATTAACCATTTCAATTTAATTGATCATTCAAGAAAAGTTCAGTTAAGAATCAAAAGCAATTCATTCACACACACTAGTAGAGAAGACCAGCTACAATATACTGTATAACTAGTAAGCTATGTGTATCATTAGAACATAAGGGCATACAGATATTAGCCATTGGAAAAAACAAATGGATAATCCTATATTTCAACAATATAATAGATACACACAAATGCAAGAAACAGTTATTAGAACACATCCAGAAGCATAACATTATTATTATTACAAACAATAATATAGGAAACAAAGCACTTTCTGAAATATCATCTTCATCCTCAATGGAGACAAAAGCTTCAAACCAGATGATACTCTTAGACATTCCTCTGCACATTTCATCCAAGAATATTCGCAGTATACTTAACAAATATGGAGAGATAGAATCTCTAAGACTCATTAAGGAAAATTACAAATACAACAGTGCCATTTTCTTCTTCAAATCTACCAGAATAAACATTCATAAGATTTGGGCGATACCAATAGAAGAGATCATAACAAGAATCGCTATGTTGAAGAATTATCAAGAAACACTAGCAGAGCGCAACAAAATAATCATTAGACTGTATAGAATCGATAAATTCATCTCTGCATCCAGAATTATGAGTGCAACAAAACACCTTAAAGTCAAGACAATTCACATTCCAGCCAATAGTGGAACGGGAAAAAGAAGAAACTTCGCTATTCTTGGATTTGAAAATCAGGAAGACTTAAACAAAGCATTATTATTTCATGTGGAACTATTTGGATGTAAAACTTGGTGAAGTACTAAAGACAACACAAAAATGTATATGCAGGAGTCCATGTCTCAAGGTAGCAAAAATGTGAACACAAAAAGGCAAAACAAGAACAATTTCTCAAAGTACCAAAAACACATCGAAGTACCAACAGCATCCTCATCAAACTGCATGGACATAGAAGAAGATAAAGAAGAAGAAGAATATCAAACAACATATACTAAAAAGATTAAAGGAAAAAAAGAAAAGCAACCTCTAAGCAAGAAAATACAGAAGGAAATATCAATTGAAAAGGATCCATGGTTTAAAGTTTTTAACATGTTAAATACCATTAGCGTAAGATTAACAAACCTAGAGAACAATAAAGATGTTAACAAGAAATCCTTCCACTATTTCTCTTAAAGGCATTCTAACTGAATTCACAGCAACAACTGAAAAGGAAAGATGCCTCCCACTGGCCTCCTCCTCTTCAGTACTTGATCATCTCTCACTATTTACCACAGACAACAATACTTCAGACTACCCCAACAAAATGACCAAACATTCAATCAACAATGAAATCAATAATTTTCTCACTGAACAAAGGAGAATATTCCTAGATAATACTATATGCATTGATATATATAATGTCAAAGGAATCAACAGAACCATAAATCAGGAAATATTAATATAAGAGATATGGGACAACAAGATCGATATCCTAGGATTAAGTAAAACTAAACTTACACATAGTAACCAAACATTTGTATTCGGCAACTGCAAAAACAGATATAAAAATTTTTTCAGCACTTGTTCAATCAACCCCAAAGAAGCAGGAGTACTTTTGCTAATCCACAAAGAGCTGAAAAAATATATTGTGCAGGTAGACAAAATAGAAGGACACCTGATAGCAATCAATCTACTTAGCAAAAAACACAAAACATAGATAGCTCAAGTGTATCTCCCCTGTAACAAACAAAAGAGTATTACTGTTCAGAAAAAAATAAAAATCATATTAAGAAACAAGATCCAATAACAATATCAAATTATTCTTATAGGGATTTTAATGCAACATTAAATCCTAAAAATGATCACACAAATTTCAAAGCAAATAGTAACTTCTCGTTCTCAAAAGACCCAGAGGCCCCAATATTCAACTTCTTTCTAGATTGGAATCTTGTGGATTTGCATCAACTTTGGGAAAACCCGAAGCCATCCCACACATGGGAAAACAATATGAGTTCAAATAGAATAGATTATATTTGATGCTCAGCTGAAATAGTATACAACATGCTCCAAGTGCAAAACTGTAGCTTTAAGGAGGTCACAAACAGCGATCATATCCTTTTGGACTTCAAAATAACCAAAGACACACTTCTTTACACCATTACAGTACACCGCACCAAAATCACACATCAATATGAGAAAATAATTGAGGTTAGCAAAACTACAGAGGAGCAATGGAACAAATATAGAACCAAAATTGAAAACAAAATCCAAAAAATTGAACTCCTTGAAAAAACAGTAGCAGCATGTCAATAAATAGATACTTGGGGTTGTACTACACAAATACAAGACCTCTGGAATGATTTCGAAAGAATATTGATTGCAACAGCATTCAACAATCTCTACTGTGAAAAAAGAGGCTCTAGAGAAAACATGAATACAAGTGGCAAAGTATAGAATTCTAAGGAAAAAAGACTAACTAGAATATACAAAGATCTGTACAAGATTCAAAAAGAAACTAAGAATGAAGCCATCGAGACTTTCGTCCCCCCCTATAATATATCAACTAAACAAGTAAATATCTAGAGCCTTAGACACATTATTAGACAACCTCCAAGCTCTTATTGAAGTTAAAACTCTCAACACAAATATAACTAACAAGGATTCAGTACTAATTACTGAACAAACACATATCCTTAGAATAATTCTCAAAAAAATCTGCATACAAGAAAAGAGAAAAAGGATTAACCAGAAAATCCAAAAAGCAATTGAGATGAGATGTCAAAATCTCAAAGATAATCAAAGGAGAATAGTCCAAACACTAACAAACAACTTCAGAGATAGGATTATGATTGATAGGATCAAAATAATAGATGAAAATAATCATGAATACATCACTATTGACAAAGAAGAAATCTTAAACCAGACAAGGCTCTACTATCAACAGGCATTTCATAAGCACAGTAGCAACTTCGATCTTCTTAACAATTAGTAGAAGGAGCAATACAAATCCAAACCAGAAATCCAAGAAGAATAGTATAATACAATGGAAAAAGAAATCCAGCTAAGTGAACTGGAAGAAGTTCTTCTTGACTTGCCCAATAACAAGGCTGCAGGACCATCAAAAATAAAATATAAAATGCTTAAAAAACTAGGCCCCAAAGCCAAAAAGACTTTCCTCAATCTTTTCAATCTTTTCCTTAGCTTCGGGATAATACCATTAACCTGGAAAAACAGTCTCTTGTATCCAATCTCCAAAGAAAAAGAATGGCAAGAAGAACTCAGTAACACCAGACCTATAATCCTTCTAGAAACAGCGTGCAAATGTTTCACCAAAATTCTCAACAACCATCTAGTACTCATATGTAAAAAGCATAAAATCTTGAAGGGACCCAACTTCACAGGACTGCCAGGTGAAAATATCTCTGAATCAATACATCTACTTAATAATATCTGTGAAAAAGCCAGAGAAGAGAACAAGGAACTTTGGATACTCTTCCAAGATACAGCAAAAGCATATGATATTGTTAGCCTAGAGATGTTAGAAAGGACACTCCAAAGAATCAAAGTCCCATATAAGATTGTTAAATTACTGTTAGACCCCTTCACACAAAGGACAATTAAGGTGATTACAGATGTTGGCCTCACTAAAGAAATAATAACAGGTGATAATATAAATCAAGAAGAGACTATATTGCCACTACT